ATAAATAATTACCAGTTCGAAGCCAAAATTCGTCACCCAAGTCTGCATGAAATATCCGATCATGCAGAGTTGGGTTTATTATTAGTTGGTCGTGGGAATTCTACAACCTCTTGAGATTTTCATACCCATATTTTAATGAGTACCATTTCCTACGACATTGAGAGAGAGAAGCGGCAAACCCTCTATTAAGAAACAATTGGTTGGATATGGTTCTCTATATCCTTTCATAGCGATTGTTAGAAACGAATTCAAAATCGTCATGATTCTCGTGTCGAAATCGAATTAATTCTCTTGCAGCGTCAATGGTCCATTTGAATGAAGCAACAACAGGAGCAGCCAAAGTCATTAAAATAGAAATAAAAAAAAGGAGGAAGACGAAATAGGCGGGATCGAGAAATAAAAAAAAACGAAATAAACGGAGATCGAGAAATAAAAAGAGAGGAGGAGAAAACGAAATAAACAGGATCGAGAAATAAAAAAAAAGAAAAGAACGAAATAAATGAGATTGAGAAATAAAAAAAAGAGAGAACAGAATAGACGGGATCGAGAAATAAAAAAAAAAGAAAAGAACAAAAAGAACAAAATAAACGAGATCGAGAAATAAAAAAAAAAGAAAAGAACGAAATAAATGAGATCGAGAAATAAAAAAAAGAAAAGAGGAGAGTGGAATAGACGGGATCAAGAAATAAAAAAAAAATAAAAAACGAAATAAATGGCAATTGAGAAATTGACGTGAAATAAAAAGTCCGAAAAAAAAAAGAAAAAAAAAACGAATTAGAAATGGTGATCGAAAAAATAGGTGGAATAAAAAAACAAAATATTAAAAAAGAAAAAAAAAGAAAAAAAAACAAATTAGAAATGGTGATCGAAAAGATAGGTGGAATAAAAAAATCGAAAGATAAAAGAGAGAGAGAGAGAGAGAGAAAGAGAGAGAGAGAGAGAAAAAAAAGATGAATTTAAAGTAAATATGCAGATTATTTAAAAATAAATTTGTGCATTAAACATATAGTAAATAGTAAAATCATTGTTT